CTGTAAGTCTAAATATAAATCAGACACATTTATGATATTATTTTACACTCTGTAGGTCTAAATATTAATCATTTATAATATTATTTTACACTCTGTAGGTCTAAATATTAATCAGAGGACAAAGTAATATTTAATAGTTTGTGTTAAATTGTAACATGATTCAACAGAGCTAAACTCTGTATAAATGCTCCACAAGCTAATATCTGCTAACTAGTTCAATAAATAACAGTGATTACATGGACTTTATAAGATTTTAATTTTAAACTGTTACATTATGTTCTGCTCAGATCACATTGAGCTAAATAAGATCAAATCTGCTGACTTGTTGTAAAATGAGACGTTTTCCTGTTTATCTTCTGTTAATAAATCCATAACACAAACAGCTTTTCTGACATTATTTAAAACATTAGATAGATTATATAAACTGTAAAATATTAATAACTATTAAGTTAATGTTATTATTAATATTTTTAATGATTTCTGCATGGTCAGTCCTTTCTGTCTGCTCTGTTGTCAACATGTACAGTGATGGGAAATCCAGAGTCTTGCCTGTTTAGCGTTAGCCATTAGCTTCACCAGTCGATCACATGGTCACCTGGTTTCTGTGCTCCAGCTGTTCTATATAACCTCCATGGAATTTAAACAGTATATACTGTATTAGTACGAGGGCTGATGTCAGATTGACTGTTAGTGTGGACAGAGCTCCATCACATCCTAAGACCAGAAGGGAAAAAAAAGCCTCGTACCGAGGACTTGGTGTTATAATTCACCAGGTATGCTTTGCGGCATTCATAAAACGGCTCATCACGTGATGAGAAATGTTTTGAAAACGTATTAAAAGCATACAGCCAGTCTTTGTTTTAAAATCTTAATCAAATAATATCTAATGTCACAATGAATCAGGGTTCCCTAACAAATAACTCTTGTCTATGAGCTCTACTACTACAAAGACAAACTCATGAACACATCTGGCTCATTGCATCATTTCCCAACAAAGACACTTAAATGCAGAAGACTACAGTTATAAGTAAAGAAATAAAACCTAAAGTTTTATAAAGACCGATACCCTCTCTAGCAGACTCATCTCCTGGAAGTCTGGACTGGTGTTGGCCAGTCGCTGCAGTGTGTGTGTCAGATCAAAGTCTGTGCAGAAGTAGAAGCCATCTGTAGTCAGCACGTTGTTTATCATGGACAGGAACGTCTTATTCTCTTGAGACTAGAAAGAAAAAACAGAGGCAGCTTTTAGAATAACTCATGAGATACTTTAAAATGATGCCAAACACTCCACTGATGTAGAGTTTGATCGATGCAAGTTTTCCATCTCTATAACTGCATTATGCTTTCCTTACTGAAGGTCATTTCTAATCAAGCTTCCCTTCTAGAACGTTTAAGCCATCATGTAGACTTGTGTGAGGTAAAGTGAGGGAACAACATTAGTACAGATCATTCTCTTCTTTTAATATTTAAAAACTGTACAGACCAAATGTTAGAGTTTGTAAAAAGTATTGCTTTCCCCCATTCATGTTTACAAAGCTGCTCATACTGTACGTTTACGTCAGGTTTCATAAACCACTAAATGTTTTCTGTTTTTCTTACTGGATAAAAACATCCAGACTATATTCAGGCAAATCTTGCTCAGACATGGACATTTTTGAGATCTCTATTTTTAAGTAATCACTGACGCTGCAGGTGTTTTTTTACTGTCCTGGATCTTCACCAGAGTTTTTGTTTCACAGAGTGCCAACGGTTCTCAGTTCGGTTCATCCTGACTCTTCTACTACAGTCATGCTGTTGTAATGGATGCAGTCTGTGGTATACCAACCTCCTGCTGTAAAATGCAAGGCTTACCCTGAAAAAGACATCTGGATGTTGTTTTGAAACTTACAGCGGGTAAAATAAGTATTGAACATGTCACCATTTTTCTCAGTAAATATATTACTAGAGGTGCTAATGACATGAAATTTTCACCAGATGTTGGTAACAACCCAAGTGATCCATACATACAAAGAAATCAAACCATAAATGTCCAGAAATGAAGTTTTTATGATCTAATGATCTAATACTTTGTACAAAAGCCTTTGTTGTCAATGACAGCTTCAAGACGCCTCCTGTATGGAGAAA